CCCTTTTCAGTTAGAGTACGTGTGCGTTGACTTCTGCGAACATCTTTATGTGAACTATCATCTCTTGCTGCTTGGAGTTGCTGGACATCCTCTTCTGTGCCCTGCTCTTGTATGACTTGTTCTTCATTACTGTCTTCTTGTGCACAGCTGACTTCTTTTGTGGACTGTTTTGTTATTTGAGCTTTATCTGACATGTTAAATATGTGATGCCTGTATTATCAATTTAGCTTATAGTCGTGTATAGATACTAAAACCTTTTTTTTATTTTAATTTTATTTTTTTTATTCTTCTTTTTTTTTTTTTTATATATATATATATATATAACTATGTGTGCAAGTATTAGAAGGAAATATTGCCCAATACTTGTAAAAAGAACCAAAATATACAAAAAGGGGTTCACTTATAACAAATAAACTTAAGAGTAATACTTTTAGAAAATTGCAATACTCCAAATATTTTTGCAATAATAAAAAATTTAATTAAAGTACTTCACTTTAATACTTGGTGTGCCTTTGATAACTATACATTTGCTGGTATTTGCTTGCAGTCTTAACTTCCGATAGGTAAACGTGCTGTGATGTCCGGTTACTGCTTTATTGTGTTGAGGTCATGAACGCTATTGAGGCTTTAGAAACCGTTCACATGTGCTTATACTACTTCTCAGACACCAGCTTGAGTGCTTGCTTGCTTAGCGTTCACTTGCCAACTTGCTTCGGTACTTGTTCAATGCGTCACGTCCATCCACACGATGCAGTCCTTCTCCAAACATTCACACGTCACCTCGTCAGCAGCTTTGGTCCCTTCGTCTTCAGCGGGGCAGTGCAGTGTTCTACTATGCCGGCCTCAGTTACAACGCGAAGACAAGAGTTCCTTTTACTGATGTTTAATGCTCTTAAACACCGTAGAACTGACAAAATAAGCAGAAAAAAATACAACAGAAATAATTAGCCTCACAACATAACTTAACATACAATAAATGTAGCAAACAAACATACCACTTTGGCCTGCTTGTGACTAAGGCTGGGTTTATTCTTCTGTTTTAACTAGCAAATGCAGTTCTTAGTCTTTGTGAGCTCGTACAGTCCACTCCGAAACACAAGTGTGGTGCCGTTAGCTTACAATGTTGACAGGAAACATAAATGTCATTTTTCAAAATACGTGCATCCATCTTAATCTTAATAAAATAAAATACTGTCATTAACATTCAAAACAAACAATGATTATAAGGTATATTACACAAATATTGAACCATATAGAATAAAAAATAAATACAAACTTATATAAGGTGCAACAGCACCGATAAGTACAAACTTATTTGAGGTGCAACAGTGCCACCTTCTGGATTTCAGAATTATTGTACAAGCAAAACAATAGCATTTACATTCGTTACGATTTTATTCTCGTAATTTTATGACTATTCTTGTTATTTCATTCTCGTAATTTTATAACTTATTTTGTTGCGATTTTACTCTTAATTTTAAGACTATTCTCGTTGTGATTTTACTCTCGTAAATTTATGATTATTCTCGTTACGATTTTATTCTCGTAATTTTATGACTACAGGTGCTGGTCATAAAATTAGAATATCATGAAAAAGTAGATTGATTTCAGTAATTCCATTTAAAAAGTGAAACTTGTATATTATATTCATACATTACATACAAACTCATATATTTCAGATGTTTATTTTGTTTAATTTTGATGATTACAAATGACAACAAATGAAAATCTCAAATTCATCATATCAGAAAATTAGAATATTGTGAAAAGGTTCAAAATTGATGGCCCCTGGTGCCACACTCTAATCAGCTAATTAACTCAAACCACCTGCAAAAGCCTTTAAATGGTCTTTCAGTCTAGTTCTATTGGCTACACAATCATGGGGAAGACTGCTGACTTGACAGTTGTCCAAAAGACGACCATCGACACCTTGCACAAGGAGGGCAAGACACAAAAGGTCATCGCTAAAGAGGCTGGCTGTTCACAGAGCTCAGTGTCCAAGCACATTAATAGAGAGGCGAAGGGAAGGAAAAGATGTGGTCGAAAAAAGTGTACAAGCAAGAGAGATAACCGCACCCTGGAGAGGATTGTGAAACAAAACCCATTCAAAAATGTGGGGGAGATTCACAAAGAGTGGACTGCAGCTGGAGTGAGTGCTTCAAGAACCACCACACACAGACGTATGAAAGACATGGGTTTCTGCTGTCGCATTCCTTGTGTCAAGCCACTCTTGAACCACAGACAGCGTCAGAAGCGTCTTGCCTGGGCTAAAGAGAAACAGGACTGGACTGCTGGTGAGTGGTCCAAAGTCATGTTCTCTGATGAAAGTAAATTTTGCATTTCCTTTGGAAATCAAGGTCCCAGAGTCTGGAGGAAAAGAAGAGAGGCACTTCATCCACGTTGCTTGAAGTCCAGTGTAAAGTTTCCACAGTCAGTGATGGTTTGGGGTGCCATGTCATCTGCTGGTGTTGGTCCATTGTGTTTTCTGAGGTCCAGGGTCAACGCAGCCACATACCAGGAAGTTTTAGAGCACTTCATGCTTCCTGCAGCTGACCAACTTTTTGGAGATGCAGATTTCATTTTCCAACAGGACTTGGCACCTGCACACAGTGCCAAAGCTACCAGTACCTGGTTGAAGGACCATGGTATCCCTGTTCTTAATTGGCCAGCAAACTCTCCTGACCTTAACCCCATAGAAAATCTATGGGGTATTGTGAAAAAGAAGATGCAATACACCAGACCCAACAATTCAGAAGAGCTAAAAGCCACTATTAGAGCAACCTGGGCTATCATAACACCTGAGCAGTGCCACAGACTGATCGACTCCATGCCACGCCGCATTGCTGCAGTAATACAGGCCAAAGGAGGCCCAACTAAATACTGAGTGCTGTACATGCTCATACTTTTCATGTTCATACTTTTCAGTTGGCCAACATTTCTATAAATCTTTTGTTTTTATTGGTGTTCAGTAATATTCTAATTTTCTGATATGATGAATTTGAGATTTTCATTTGTTGTCATTTGTAATCATCAAAATTAAACAAAATAAACATCTGAAATATATGAGTTTGTATGTAATGTATGAATATAATATACAAGTTTCACTTTTTAAATGGAATTACTGAAATCAATCTACTTTTTCATGATATTCTAATTTTATGACCAGCACCTGTATTCTCGTTACGATTTTATTCTCGTAATTTTACGACTATTCTCGTTACGATTTTATTCTCGTAATTTTACGACTATTCTCATTGCGATTTTATTCCCGTAATTTTATGACTATTCTCGTTGCGACTTTATTCTCATAATTTTAAGACTATACTCGTTATGATTTTATTCTCGTAATTTTATGACTTCATGCTCATAATATTAAGACTTTATTCCCGAAATAAAAAAAATCTCTAGCCTGCCCCTAATACTCCGTCGTACAAGGTATATGGAGGGTCAAAATGTTTTATAAAAGTACCATGAAATAAGTAAATGTAACATTAGTTTATTAATTTATTAAAATCATGACATTTATCAATCAATTTCTAAAATGCACAATTAAATAATTAAACATTAAAACATTTAAAATTGCAAATTAGAGGTTTAAAAATATACATTTGGTTATATATGTAAATAACATTATATTTAAAATAGGGGGAAGTAATGGAGTGATTACGTATTTTTAGGGAGTCGCAGTCTGTTGACTTTTTATTTTTGGGTCAGAGGCTGAAATGTTTAGCAACATCTGTTATAGAGGATTTTAAAAAGAGCTTATTGATCTCTTATAACTAATCAAATGTGTCACACCAACATTTTTTTAAGGGGCAGTTTATAGTTTTTCTGTAAAACTAATTTGAACAGATGAAGCAAAATAAGAATTTATATGATAATTTTAAGCCTTTTATTAGTCTAATAATAATTGTGCATGGTGTTTTGAATACTTCCATAGCCATATTTGTGTAATATTGCATATTTTGTAGTTACTGAATTTAAATTCACAAGAAGTTGTATTTATTTTGGACATTAGTTCATTCCTGTATATATTTATATATTTATTTTTACTTACCTTTTTTTTTCTAATACAAAAATGATAAATTGAAACACCTAGACAGAATTTAAAAAGCTACTAATATGGCTTAAAATGTAAGGATAAAAAAAATGAACTGACAGTTTTATAATCACTAAAAAAATTCTAGGTAACATTGGTTTTATTATATATAAACAGATATTATGTCATAAGCATAATATGATGGCCTGCAGTGAAAGAAGATGCTAGCAGAGAAAACAAATAATGAAAATCTTTATATCATTTTAGGAATGACTTTACCTACTGTTTAAGCAATACATTTTCTCTAAATATCTGGAGGTGACAGGACTTTTTTTTCTCAAATAAAATGCAAATGCACAACCCTGTACCCGCTCCTGATGCAGTGGGTAGCACTGCTGCCTTGCAGCAAGAAGGTTCTGGGTTCGATTCCCGGCCCGGGGTCTTTCTGCATGGAGTTTGCATGTTCTCCCTGAGCATGCGTGGGTTCTCTCCGGCCTCGTCCCACAGTCCAACAACATGAATGTTACGTTAATTGGTTTCTCTAGATTCTCCTTAGGTGTGTGTTTTCGTGAATGGTTGTTTGTTCTGTTTGTCTCTGTGTTGCCCTGCGATGGACTGGCTACCTGTCCAGGTCACCAGGACAAAGCTGCCCACAGATACGGCCTTATCCTGTTTACACCAGTCCATCTCGCCGTAGACAGCTGGAGATGGGCACCAGCACTCCTTCATGTTTTTTTTTTCTGTTATCTTAACTCATAGTTTGATTTATCAGCAGCATATACCTGTCATCAAGAGTACAGTTTACTGCTCATTACTGACTACTGTTATTAGTGGTGATGACATTAGTCTAGGTGCTGTAAACAGTTAACTGGTCTGGTTGGATTCCAGCGTTTAACCACAGTTATGCTGGTTCCAGTCAAAGAATGTGTTTATTATTTCGTTCTTTTACGTTCTGTCCCAGAGCTGCTGTCCATTCAGGTGGTCGTCCCAGAGACTGAGAGGTCAACAACGCTGTTTGGCTCTGTGACAATCCACTGCGACTACTCAACATCAGCCAACCCTCAGGAGGTCCTCGTCTCATGGAAGTTCAAGTCCTTTTGTAAAGATCCGGTCTTGGAGTATTACTCCACAGGTGAGGCTTCTTCTAAATGGAAAGGATATAGGAAGTATTCTACCACTGCAATTAGATATCCACCAAATTCTTCACTCAAATTACTAAAAATACATGTGAGTAGGTCAGCTCTAAATCCATTATCTATCCACCCTAAATGAGTTCAGTGTTGTTTGGCACACCCTTCTTGAAATATTTCAAGTTTTTTACGGCACCAGTGCTCGTGTTTGTTTTGTTTTGGGGTTTTTTGTATTGTGGGCTGACAGGGAAGGGGTTACTAGAGAGGGGGGAGACATGTGTCCACTGAAGAAGGCCCCCCCCCTTCAGTGCAGATTAAGACCCCACTCCCATCTTTTAACCAAAACTAAGCAACCTTCATAGAATATTTTCATTACATTTCTGATTATACGTCAACCAACAACTTGTCGAATGACCTCTATCATAGCCGGAGAGGGTCTGCATCGCATTCAACAACACTAAGCTACTTTGAATAGGGTGGAAGTAACCATGCAACACAAAACACCTAAAAATGTGCCGATGGCATGCGTCACTTTCCCCATTTGTTAAAACGACGGAAGTGATGCGACAAAGTTTCCCAGAGAGACTGTATATTTGTGCAAATTGTGCAGGGTTGACGTTATGTTATGTTTATTTCAAGGCTCTAAACTGGTCGGCACATCAGTCTCTGACGAGTCGGGTGAGGTGGCCGGGGGCGACAAAACTAGACATCGTCATACAACAATGTGTCATCACAATTAGATTTATTACCTCATCACTATTTATCTTTCACACGGCTACTGGAAACAGAAATGTGGTTTTATCCAACTGCAGTTTTCCAGGAGATCTGGATTTTACCACGATATGGTCTTTACCACGCTGATCCTCATGGAAAATGTTGTCTTCCTTCAGGCAAACAATACAGCTTTCATCCACTAGGCGGAGCCAAAATCGACCAACACATAAAGTTCTTTAGTACTGCTTTTTTTGTGTCCGCAAACACCTGGGAAGCATTAAGAACACCTTGGTCTCCCCAACATATTCATGATGGAACATGATAGTAACCAGGTTGTCTTGAGAGTTCTCGGAAACCTTCATATGTAGTGGTACCGAGTGATCCAAATTGGTAACTGCACTTTAAAACTGCAAATTTAATGTAAGGTTGCAATAATTTCCCTTGAAAGTTACCTTGAAGGCACACATGCCCGCTAAAGATGAGGCTTGAGACAATCTCACCAGATTCAATGATTTTATTACAGTTATTGGAACAAAGCAATTTAAAACCACTCACACATTAAAATAACAGTCACAGCTCAACTCCAGGATGGCAGTGTAAATCAGGGTAGTGACCTACAAAAGAACACAGCAAAAAAAAACAAAAAGAAAATCGTGCACCAAACCGAAAGGAGTACCACCACCCGGAAAGTCCACCACCAACACCAGGAGCTGGCCGTTTCTGTCAAAATAAAAAGACATTCAAATCACACATTTCATATTAAAACAGTTCAGTGCACAAAAAAATCAAGCAGCAGTAGTTTCAATAAAGTCAGTTTGGGGATGAACCCCCACGCCGCAGCAGACACTGCAGAAAGATTCACCAGCAGAATCGGTACACGCCAGTCACAGACCGGCCCGAACCAGTCACACTGGACGAGAGACAGGAAGCAGCTTCCCGCTGACCAGGACGGCGGGCATTGAGCCGACAGCCAAAGTAACAGGTAGCCGGCGACGGACGCCTACAGGCGGACTGCCGGCCGGAAACAGCAGACAAAACAGCCAGCCAAGGACAAACGGCAGCGTCTAATTAAACATGCATGTCAAAAAAATATAGAATCTAGAAGCATGTGAAGAATGAGCTTTTCACTTACCACTGAGCTCTATGTAGTGCCTCTGGCAAGGAGAAGAATCAGGCAGCTTGTATGGGACACCTGCATATATATATATATCAGTAAAGCTGAGCTAAGGCTAGGCTAACAGAATTAAACTAAAATAACTCTTACCACAAGAAGGCTTGATTAGTGCTTAGTTTAAAGCGCATCATTCGAGCGCGCATCTGTATGCAGCTGGTGTGCTGCGCCAGCAAACACCGAGGTCTGAGCCGGAAGGACAACATGATGACCAGGTGAGGGAGGGCCCTTTATATACAGACAGCGCCACAACCAATTGGGTCAGCACTTGTGTGGTGCATTCAAAGCCCGCAGGGCATACTGCCACACATAAAAAGATTACAGGGTCTTGCCTAAGCTCCTCCCTAGAGGATCCTGACTGCTGCAGTGTTAGTTTATCAGAGATGTGTGGCCTCTAGATGCTGGTATGGCTTACTTATCAGAGGAATTAAAAAGAAAATTGACCAGAACTACTTGTAGTAAGGTAACATGCCAACTAATTATCACTCTTACAGAAGCACAGCTGCTATGTATAACCCATAAAAGCAATCCATCATCTCAATGATACAGACCACTTCTGTTCTGACTTCATCCGGCCCATTGCTCATATAAGCTCTTGGAGCTGCACTTTGGAATAGGGCTCCTATCTGGAGAGAAGTGCACACACCTCCAAATTGAGCATAAGTTTGTAGACTCGCATCTTGCTCTCATCAGTCTTTCATGCTGTCAAGCTCTGTTATTGTTTTTTTTGTGATGAGGAGGAGAAAAAGAACGAGCAGCAGCTAAGGACCTTTATGATTCTATATTATTATTATAGTGTTTAACAGATGCAGAGATACTGATGAGCCTCGGTATGATCAGCATACTGTTTGCTGTAAAATGGGCAAAAAGAAGAGCAAATATTAGATTTTGGGTACCAAATCCATTCTGGCTTCGTAGCTCCTCACAGTTATTGCACAGGACTGAAAGGCACCAAGTGCAACAGGGAGGTGGAACCTGTTAAATGTCTGGAGAGAAGGACTGGAAAAATATATATATATATGTTTTTAAAGAGATAAAAAAAAACATTAATGGAAACTTCTCGCTTTTCTTGAAGAACATTGATAATTTAACCCTAAAATCCAACATTATACAATCTGCTACAGCAGGAAATGGACCCTGATGAGTTATATTAACCAGATTGTTAAACAACAATGTACGGGACGATATTTGTTGAAGTGATCGCCAAAAACAAGACAAACCAGATGTCCAAGTCTGCATTCAACCTGGCTCCACAGGCAATGCTATTGTTGCGCAATCATGTTGTGAAAAGCAGACAGATCAGTGATCTAGACATTACACAGGGCTCATTTATATAAAGCATGTTTATTTACATACCTACCAAGATAGAGGTTGTTGCATTGCTTTGTTAACCCCTTAAAGCCAAGTGCATATTTTTTTTGACACCTCTGCATCATCAGTGTGATATTTTTTTCCTTGAAAACCCTGACTCAAACAAGCAACATGTAGTGAACAGAAAATTTACAAAGCATTATAAAGAAATGCCTAATGTAAAATTGATGCAAATAAATTATCTACTTTATCTTATATATAATTGATGCATTTTTATTTAATTTATCAGAAAGTTTAATGATGACTAATTAAAAAAAAATAATAATAACATTTCCTGTCAATTATTTCATGGTTTCGGGCATTAAAGGGCATTGTGTTTGACCATGAGGAAGACGGTGAGGTGCAGGTAATAAGGTTTCAGATATGCCAGTAGCTTAATAATCCCAGCATGATTTAATCAGAAAAATAGGTATAGAGAGTTAAGATGATCAGAAGAGAGTTCTGAGTAAAAAACACAAGGTTTTGCATTTTGATTACATGATGCATTTAACCCTGATGGCACATTAGGGTTATGTGATTTCTACTAAATAAAATTATGGAAAATACTGATGGCGTTCTGCTGTTCTTTGCAGATCTGAAGCCAGTTGTGGAGGAGCAGAGACCCCTTTATGGAGGGGGCAGTTATATCATACAAAAAACCAAAATTAGACTTAGAATATGTAACTTGGCTTAAACCAGGTTGATGCATGTTGTTTAATTTGAATTCTATACAATATCTATGTTGCAAGTTTCTGGGAGGAAAGCGGAAACATGTTTCCCATCCTCAAAGGCACATAATTTTTCTCATATTTCAAAAAGGAATAGAGAATATTCCAGCTAAAATCTGCACAGCCATGTTTGTTTTGCTTCAGCTTGCCACATCCAATGACTTCATACATGTCACTGCATTAACCTGTTCAAAACATTTCGGTATCGAGACTAATGCATCAGTTGCCCTCTGGAAAGATGTATTTTCACGATTTTGTAAATTCAAAAATCTTGGGACAATTCATCTTGCTGGCGGGGTACAAAATCATGTGCCCCTCAGGAAAGAAAAAAAAATCAAAACAATTTTGAAATTTAATAAGGATCTACTGCTAATTTTTATTCATATGAACAGTTTTATAAATTCTGTTGATGTGGAATTTACACGGGGGTATAGTTTTGCAAATATGGTGCAATAAGAAGCCACATCCTAGAACGGAATAAGTAAAACTGATTAAATGGTGAACGTGCAGAATATACCCAGCTTAGGACTCAGAATGAAGCAGATCAATGACTTGTGGGTAAACACTTCTTCAGCCTTTGAGTTTTTGGCCCCCAGGCAGCTTTTGTAAAGCAAACTTTCTTGGCCCTTAACTTGTAATGCTTGGTTTAAATGTCCTGGAAGTCAGGGAGGTCATGATTTCTGCAAGTACTTAGATTTTAAATCACATTTTTTTTGCATCTTATGGTTACCTCAATCATGAGATAAAAATGAAATCAGATAAAACTGTGCAGACATATTAAAAAATAAATAAATAAATAAATAAAACCACTTTAGTGGTTTTAGATTTCCCTTCATTTAGCTGCAGCAGAAACCTTAATTTCCAAACGGCAGAGATGGGGGGCAGTGGGGACTTTCCGTTGGTTTGTTTTGTTGTCTCTTTCAAAGATTGTGTAACGTAAACTTTCTGCATGTATTCAGGTATAAAACAACAGTGTTTCTGTGCTGGGTTTTTATTTTGGGAAATAACTGTGCTGTTACAACCCTTGTTATGACACATTTGCCAAACAATGTTTCCAGGAAGTGTTGATAACTTCTTTCCTCAGTACATAGTTTTATTAACCTGAATCTGGCTTATTTAGCAGCTGTATTCTAAGTTATTTTTTTCATATTACAGCAATAAAGTAATATTTTATCAGTACAAAAATACTTATCCTAATGATTACTTATCCTCAACTGTAGCGTTAAATGAGTATAACCTGATACATTGCTTTCTTTGTTTCTGAAGCTTATCAGGCGGCTCTGCAGCTCGGTCAGGATCCTGCCAATGACTGTCCAGACAGCCAGCGAACAGTTCGCACTGTCATCCAGAAGAGGGGAATCAATCAGCCAATGCTGGGAGCAGAGTACAAAAATCGCAGAATCACAATTCAGAACAGTACGTTTTATCCTAGCAGTGGGATTTGTTGCCTTGGAATTATCAGCATGTGTAACTTGCCTAATATGTAATATTTAAGTGAACATATTCTATTATTATTATATATTGTTTGAGTAGCATTTTGTTGTAGAGATGAAGCCCAGAGGGATTTAAACAGAATTTTCTCTAAACAGATGCAGATTTAGTGATAAATGAGGTGATGTGGTGGGATAACGGCATGTACTACTGCAGCATCGAGGCTCCTGGGGACACTACGGGTGACTCGGATCGAGAAGTCAGGCTCATTGTTTACCGTAAGTTTCCTCTGTCTCTTCCTGCTGAGGCTTTTAAAGAGAACAATGGCTGTGAAAGCAAAGCTGAGGTCAGTTTTACTGTCTTCTTGTTTCAGACTGGCTCACTGTCCTGTTCATCATCATCGGCGCATTGTTGCTCATTATGCTCTTCTGCATATGCTGCTGTCAGTGCTGCCCACAAAAGTGCTGCTGCTATGTCCGCTGTCCCTGTTGTCCTCAGACCTGCTGTTGTCCTGAAAAAGGTACTAGAGAGGGCTTCATGTGTGTTTTAAGCCAGAATTTGTACGGACAAAAAGGGAGAAAAGGGTTAATGTATACAGAGGCTGTACACATTGACTTGCATCTAGATTCCCTTTATCCTTGAGGTACTCACTCAAAACTTGAGATTTTGTTAAATTCATCAATTGTCACTGTCAGAAACCCGAGATATATTTTAAGTAATTTAGAAAACAAAACACAATTCTGTCAACTTCAGATTTTTTGCTTTAAAGTTTATCTTAAAAATCGGTGTATGGACAGCTTAAAGCAGATTGCAGGTGCTTTTTGGGGGTTTGTTTTAGCATAACATGATCTAGTCCAAATTTATTCTGTTTCTTGTTTTTATAATTCAAAATGAGCTGATCTATCTTGGTTGAAAAAAAATTTGCTCCCACCCCCCGAGCTGACAGGGGTATAGGGGGGTATTTACAGAAAATAGATTTCAACTTGTAAAAGTGTTAAGTTCAATATCCTAATATTTTAAAAGCTACATCAAAAATATCAAATTGCAGTTTAAATATTATGTAACGTGATAAATGTTTAGGCATCCTGGTTAAAATGAAATATAATCAGAAAGCTGTCAGTGAAGTAAAACAAGATGAAATAGCAGAATAATAATGACAAAAATATCCCTAACTGTACATAATGTCAGATTTCTTTAGGTTAAAGATGCATAACTTTGTGCTTTATACATATTAAAAAGAGAAAAGCCATGGAAATGTTATACTGCAAAATGTATTAAATAAAAAACCTTCAAGTTATTAAAAATAACTAAATCGGCCAATTGTGGAATCAGGATTCAGGAAAACACTATAGTCTGAGGAAATTAGTTGGATAAATATAAAAACAACTTTAAAAAAGCAAATGATCTATAATAAACACAGAAATAATAATAAATGTCAAGTATTACTTATGAAATCTACAATCATCACAAGTTATTTTTAATGTACTAATAAACATTAATAACTAAAGTTAAATAATAAAAAAAAGAATAGTAATAAAGTTAGTCATTGGCATTTTTCTGGGCATCCCACCAGGTACTCCAGCCTCCTCTCACATGCCAAAGTGTGGATGTTCTGTTTGTTGATGACTGGAAATTGCCCTGTGGAGTGTAGCAGTGTGTGTAGGTGTCCATGGTTGATTTTGCTGTTACCTTGTACTCTGTGACTGACCTGTTTAGACTGCCACCACCTGTAAACTCCAACCCATGCGACTCTGTGTAGACAAACGCCGATAGACAAGGGCTGAATTAAAGAGAAACTGAATAGATCAGCTTTTACTTTGATTTTTAAAAATGACAGCGTAGTGTATCGGGGTTTTCAAGTTCAGAATAATGCATTTTCTTTATAAGCTACGAATGAACAGTTGCTGTAGATTTTCTTTTTTTAATTTAAGTTCCCCAGTTGTCTGTCTTTTTTTATACTTTTTTTTATCCACCAGGCTTTAATTTGCATTTTATTTACAGCTAGAATATGCTATTCACTGACTGGCTTGATCCAGAGTCTGATTCCTGTTATTTTCAAACAGTGAAATATTTCTGGTTTGTGCTCTGATTGCAGCGGTAATGCAGCACCGGATGCTGAAAGAAGCTCAGAAAGCCATGGGTCCCTGGATGAACGGTCAGCCTATTTACACAAACATCAGCAATGCCTCCTCCCAGGGTGTTCCCTTGCTCTATTCTGGTAAATATCCATCAAAGAAAGGCATGAAAAGATCTATCCGCTCAAAGATTGGTGTCTTTACTCAGGGTGTGTTTATTTGGTCATACCTTATAGAGTCAAGAACGTGTTCTTGTGCTAATAAAAACTATCCACAAACCTGTTCCACATTTGTATTGTGCTTTAGTATATTCAGCATCTTGTTCTTGATAACTGCAGCTTTTCTTTACTTTTAATCTGTGGTATTTTTTTTCCCCTTTAGTCCCAGCTTCCATATCAGACTACTCAACGAAACAAAACCTCTCTATGACTCCCATGCATTTGGCACCAATGGCCCCGCAGCAGCAGCACCACACTTCACATCCACAATACATGGCGAACAGCAGCCTTCGAAGTAGCGTTCAAGGAGCCAACCCAATGTTGGACTATCTGGAGAACCAGGTGAGAGGACTTGATGTGAGCCCTCCTCAAATGGCACCACACAATGTTCGAAACATGACGCCTTCGCAGCCCCGTCTGCAGCCTCAACCCTCTCCTCCAGCGGTGCCCTACGCCCCTGGCCCGCCCAGCATGTTATCAGCTCTGGACGAGATGGGGGTGAGGGGGATGGAGAGAAGGGTGATCACTCTGCCTCCAATCATCCAGCGAGTCCCCAGCTTTTCCTCCCGCAGGGACACAGCTGGAGGAAATGGGGCCAGGGGGTATCCAAGAATGTCCAGTCAGTCTAGTGGCAGCACCAACCGCTCAGGAGGGGGCCAACAGCGAGACAGACATAGGTACAGAAGCAGGGACGACCCTCCTCCAAGAAGGGGGATACTGCGTGAATACAGTGACGATTCAGACTGGGATAACCAGGGAGGAAGAGCAACGCATGGGGGGTCGAGGAACGAGAGGAGAGGGCGAGGGTCCAGGCCACGCACCCGAAGCCGTGACGACCTAATGGAGGAGCTGCATAGCAGATCAGCAAGGAGAGAGAGGAGCTACTCCCCTCCTCGGCACCGCACAAGGTCCTGGAGCTCTGATGAGGAGGTCAGCACCAGGAGGAAAGGACGCAAAGTGAAGGATTGGCCAGAAAAACCTCCCAGCTACTACTCCAGTGAGGTCCAGCCTGGTCGCAGGAACTACGACCGTCTTTCTGTAAGATCCTCACCTACTGCTGATACATACAATGAACCAGCAGTGTGTTAAAACATAACCCCTGTGAGCTGTATTTTCTGATCTGCCTTTAGTTTGTAGTCTCCATGTGAGAGCTGTGGCTTTGAAAGGCAGGACGGGTTTTCCCGGAAAGCCAACAGTGTCAACATTTAGATCAGTTTAACACTCAGTTTAGTGGAGCGTTAATAAAATTCCCCTTCAGTCGTTTAATATACTCCAAATATACAGATTACCTGAAACCCTGCAGATTCAGTATGAGCTGATGAGCACTTCTTTTCTCTCAAGTAGGAGTATCAAAGATGTCGGGACATAAAAATATTGACCAACATTCATAAACCTATGAATGTTGAACCAGAAATGTGTGTACCTAAATGTAGCGTTGCCACATCTTGTGAAATTTTTTCTGCAAATGTCTGAAAACTTGGCCTTTATAAATGGCCTCTGCAGACTACAGAGCTAAATAGTCAGACTTCTAACTATACTATTTCTAGGAATGGCAAAGGCTGCTTTACTCTTGATTACGCTTTAGTAAAATGACAGAAAAGCTGCAACACCGCCACAATCCAGTTGATGGTTTATAAACGTTTTCGCCTTTCTTTGTACAGCTGTGATAAAAGAAAGTTAGCAAAGCATACATGTGCAAGCTTCATTGTGACTATTCCACAGATCTCTCACACTGCCCCCAAGTGGCAGCAGGTGGGTACAACACATATGTGCAAAGCTAATGCTGTAAATTTCTGCAGTCATAGCTTTGATTTCTTCTTCTTTGTTTTTTTTTCTGTGTGGCTTTTTCCATGTGGCGATCATAGTAGTTCTGTTTTAGACTCTAATCTCTGCTTTTTCACCTTTTTCTCTCTTAGGATAGAGGCTCCCATAGCAGTACCAGCGTAGTCATCTGAAACATTTCTTATTTTTTCCTCACTGTTTCCACATCGGTGAAATGAAGGCGTTTGAAGCTGCAGCTGTTTAACGAACTGAAGTAAACTGCTTTACAGGCAGTGTGTGTAATATGTGCATATTTGAACTGCACTTCCATTGTGTGTAATTACTGCTATATAAAGAAAACCATGTTCATTTCCATTTAAATTAGCTGGTTATGTGAATCTTTTATGTATTGTCTGTGTGTGCATATTTCTGTGGTGAAAGACATTATCTTAAGAATGATTTAAATCTATAGTTTTCACAAATTTTTAAACATGCATGTATGACTATAACAGCGCCTTCACATCAGACCTGATTCCAATTGGCAGTTCTAGACAGGGGCCAGTGGGTCTATAGAACTGGTCCTGGACCCCATTAAGGCCCCTTTACTACTACATAATACAACATTTATTAAAAATAAATTATATGTTCTGGGAAAAAAACTGCTACGGAAAAGTCAGTTTAATCATTTTTTATTTTAGTTTTATTTGATTTATGATTTAAAAAATTAAGTAGTTGCCTTTTTAGCTTCGATAATCCCTATAAGATCACTAGTTTTGTCTTCTAGATATGAAGTTTCCAGACTTGCAAATGGCTGGTTTGCTTGATATATTAAGTGAACCAAAGAACATCTCACTTTTTTTGGTTCCATTCTTTTATTCTGTGCCCCCATTTAAAAATAAAAAAAAATGGCCCACCATGGCCTCCCTGGTAAATTTGTTCTCAAACCGCCACTGGTGATTGCAGTGACAAAATCTCCCCATTTAGATGCTGTGACTCTCCTGTCATGTAGACAGCAGTTTGACAAACTCCACTCCAGCTGTTACACCCACAGCTTTAAATTGAAGGAGCTTCTACCTCCTGCTAAGCATGGAGGACCTGACGTGACGCTGCAAACAAAGGGAGCTGTTTGACATTCCTTACTTCAGACTATGTCGACATTTATTTTTTTTCTATCTTTAATGTTAATTGACAAAATGTTTAGTTTCCAATGTGCTCTTTCACTCTGTCACAGCCTCATCAGCACTGATAGTTTGTGTCAACGCAACAAGACACAGAAGTTCAGTTTCTCCAACTCCAGGAACTGTTGCTTCCCATCCATCATAGGTGTCATGTTCCTCCTGTCTCACTGTAATTCCCAAAATCGTGCCTGTTGCATCTCTAGAAACCCTGCCTGTTGCAATTCAATGTTCAGTGCAAATGCAAAACTCCACAGCTGCAGTAGAAAGCAGAAGAAAAAAAACTCTAAAATACTGTATAAATGTGATCTTACCTAATCATTTCTTTTGTAATTGATGAAGTGATGTATAAGATATGTTTTAATAAACTTTTTAGACAGAACTGGAGTGATTTTTGTTCTTTAATAGATTCTTGGCATGTTTGGAAATTTGCAAATCTCTCTTTTATTTATTTTCAAACATATCCCAATAGGAGTTTCTACAAAGGGATCTACTGTTCGCATCTAAAGTATCCAGACAATTTTGTGCTCTTAATCTTTAGTTTAGATTGTTAGGAATAAAAGTTTATCTGAGATTAAGGATAGTTTTCAATTCACTAATAAAATAAACTTTAGTTTAGTCACACTAAGTGTACCAATTTTATGATTGTAAGGTTTACGGAATAAAAAAGTATGTGAATAAAACGCTCCTAAATACAATCCTTATCGAACGATAACAAATGACTACCGTAGATAACAGTGAAGGTTGGCTTCAGATGGATACATATCAGGGGCCTGGCCTATGACATCGTAGCGCTCTTTCTGATTGGCTGATCTGCAGATGGAAGAGGCGGGCTTACTTTAACACGGAAGTAAAACTGCCCAATGTCAGGAGGTCCTGAATCAGCTGTCAAGCCTCCTATCTCCGGTTAGATAAAACTCGATAGGACCAAAGCGGTTCTTCCCATGAAGCAATAAGCCTGTGCTTAAACTTATCCACGCAGTTTTCAGGTGAGGCCAACTGAACTATATTTGTGTATTTGCTGTTTTTTGCAGGCTCGTTTCTTTAGAAAACTGTTCTTGTTTTAATAGCTTTACGAGCTAACAGCAGCTAGCAGAGCAATGGAAGATACGCTCAATCTTTTATATATACGTATTTTAATATTTTTTTCTATAATATATACTATTTTTGGATTTTTCCCCAAAGCATCACTTTGACCAAGCAAAGGATTTATGAGGCCTGATTTTTTTTTTTTTATGACTCCGCTTTGAGCTAACAGTTTCCCGGTTGTTTACATAGAGCCTGAGCTGGTATCATTTACGGCATGTCTGGCATCCCGGTGTGTATGTCCTCCCTCCTTACTGTAATGTAACTTTCCCTCTGTGGTGGTGGGTGGGTGTTTTTTCCGCCCTAGGTGTCCCTTTGGAAGCATGAACTCCCTCCCTGGAAAAGCCGCTTTGTCTCTGTGCAGAGGCGCGGCTGCAGGCAGGATGAGGGTACCGCTCGGCTCTCCGGGTCGGCCTGCGGGGGCGGTGCAGGGAGACAACACCGCTTTCCAGGCTGTGCGGGTCTGTCACTCCGGGACGAACCAGAAGTCCAACGTTTACACCAAAAAACGCGGCTATGACATCACCAGGAACCCCTACCTGAACAAGGTTAGTTTACTGATCACTGCTAGAGTATTTAAATGCGTGAATCTTTTCAGTGACACTATTACAAAGATGCGACACTATTAATGCATTAATGTGTGGAATATCTAATGTACAATTACTATTTAATACCCTTTGCAATAGCTAGATATATAAATACCTATCTATATAAATACCCATTTAATACCCTGTACAATAATCCTGCCTAATTATATATATATATATATATATATATATATATATATATATATATATATACATACACAGTTATGGCCAAAAGTTTTGAGAATGATTCAAATGTTAATATTTACAAAGTCTACTGCTTCAGTTTTTATAACGGCAATTTGCATATACTCCAGAATGTTATAAAGTGTGATCAGCGTAACAGCAATTAATTGCAAAGTCAGCATTTGCCTAAAAAATGAACTTTATCCCCCAAAACACATTTCAATGTCATTGCAGCCCTGTCTTAAAAGGACCAGCTAACATTGTTTCAGTGATTGTTCCATTAACACAGGTGTGGGGGGTGATGAGGACAGGGCTGTAGATCAATCTGTCATGATTGATTAAGAATGACACCACTGGACACTTTAAAAAGAGGCTGGTGCTTGGCATCATTGTTTTTCTTCTGTGAACCATGGTTATCTCTAAAGAAACACATGCAATCATCATTGCACTGCACAAAAAATGGCCTAACAGGAAAGAGAATCGCAGCTAGAAAGATTGTACTTCAGTCAACTTCAAGGAGAGAGGTTCCATTGTTGCCAAAAAGGCTCCAGGGCACCCAAGAAAGACCAGCAAGTGCCAGGACCGTCTCTTAAAAGTGTTTCAGCTGCGAGATCGGGCTACCAGCAGTGCACTGCTTGCTCAGGAAGGGCAGCAGGCAGGTGTTCGTGCATCTGCAAGCACTGTGAGGTGGAGACTCTTGGAGCAAGGCCTGGTCTCTGTCATTTTCTTTGATGAATCCCGTTTCCAATTGTTTGGGACATCTGGAAAATGGCTTGTTTGGAGACGACGAGGTGAGCGCTACCACCAGTCTTTTCTCATGCCAACTGTAAAGCATCCTGAAACCATTCATGTGAGGGGTTGCTTCTCAGCCAAGGGAGTCGGCTCTCTCACAGTCTTACCTAAAAACAAAGCCATGAATAAAGAATGGTACCAGAATGTCCTCTGAGAGCAACTTCTCCCAACCTTCCAACAGCAGTTTGGTGATGAACAATGCCTTTTCCAGCATGATGTAGCACCTTGCCATAAAGCAAAGGTGATATCTAACTGGCTCAGGGAACAAAACATAGAGATTTTGGGTCCATGGTCTGGGAACTCCCCTTGATATTAATCACATCTAAACCTTGTGGTCAATCATCAAGAGATGGGTGGACAAATGAAAACCTAGGAATTCTGACAAAATGCAAGCATTGATTGTGCAAGAATGGACTGCTATCAGTCAGGATTTGGTCCAGAAGCTGATTGAGAGCATGCCAGGGAGAATTGCAGAGATCCTGAAGAAGAGGGGGCAACACTGCAAATATTGACTTTCTGCATTAACTCATTCTGTCATTAAAAGCTTTTGTTACTCATAATATGATTGCAATTGTATTTCTGTATGTGATGACAACATCTGATATACACACATAAAAACCAGAGGGCAGCAGATCATGTGAAAATATAATATTTTTGTCATTCTCAATACTTCTGGCCATGACTGTTTGTATATACACTATATTGCCAAAAGTATTTGCTCACCTGCCTTGACTCACATATGAGCTTAAGTGACATCCCGTTCCTAATCCATAGGGTTCAATATGACGTCGGTCCACCCTTTGCAGCTAGAACAGCTTCAACTCTTCTGGGAAGGCTGTCCACAAGGTTTAGGAGTGTGTTTATGGGAATTTTTGACCATTCTTCCAGAAGCGCATTTGTGAGGTCGCACACTGATGTTGGACGAGAAGGCCTGGCTCTCAGTCTCCGCTCTAATTCATCCCAAAGGTGTTCTATCGGGTTGAGGTCAGGACTCTGTGCAGGCCAGTCAAGTTCATCCACACCAGACTCTGTCATCCATGTCTTTATGGACCTTGCTTTGTGCACTGGTGCACAGTCATGTTGGAAGAGGAAGGGGCCAGCTCCAAACTGTTCCCACAAAGTTGGGAGCATGGAATTGTCCAAAATGTCTTGGTATGCTGAAGCATTCAGAGTTCCTTTCACTGGAACTAAGGGGCCAAGCCCAGCTCCTGAAAAACAACCTCACACCATAATCCCCCCTCCACCAAACTTTACACTTGGCACAATGCAGTCAGACAAGTACCGTTCTCCTGGCAACCGCCAAACCCAGACCCGTCCATCAGATTGCCAGATGGAGAAGCGCGATTCGTCACTCCAGAGAACGCGTCTCCACTGCTCTAGAGTCCAGTGGCGGCGTGCTTTACACCACCGCATCCGACGCTTTGCATTGCACTTGGTGATGTATGGCTTGGATGCAGCTGCTCGACCATGGAAACCCATTCCATGAAGCTCTCTGCGCACTGTTCTTGAGCTAATCTGAAGGCCACATGAAGTTTGGAGGTCTGTAGTGATTGACTCTGCAGAAAGTTGGCGACCTCTTCGCACTATGCGCGTCAGCATCCGCTGACCCCGCTCCGTCAGTTTACGTGGCCTACCACTTCGTGGCTGAGTTGCTGTCGTTCCCAAACACTTCCATTTTCTTATAATACAGCTGACAGTTGACTGTGGAATATTTAGGAGCGAGGAAATTTCACGACTGGATTTGTTGCACAGGTGGCATCCTATCACAGTTCCACGCTGGAATTCACTGAGCTCCTGAGAGCGACCCATTCTTTCACAAATGTTTGTAAAAACAGTCTGCATGCCTAGGTGCTTGAATTTATACACCTGTGGCCATGGAAGTGATTGGAACACCTGATTCCAATAATTTGGATGGGTGAGCAAATACTTTTGGCAATATAGTGTATATGTGTGTGTATGCACTGTATTTACTGTATATATTCCCCCATGCGCCTTTCCCTCCTTTTGGCACCTTCTTCTTTTGAGTAAATTTTTCTACTTGGAGATCAATAAAGTTAACTAATCAGTAAACATTTTGTCAGGACTGATCACATTTCAAAGTATTTTAGTGGAAGTTTAAAGAGACCATCTCAGTCTTACACAGTTGTGGATAGATGAGTCTAGTGCCCTTTTAATTAACCCTCTTGACCAGCCAATTATAATCAGGAAGCAGATGAAGCAGAACAGATATCTTTGGTAAAGTTGGACTATAAAACACAATCTCAACCTCTACAGGTGGAGCATTAATCATAGCAACTGTGGAGCAGCTGCAGAGGTCAAAAGAGCCTTTTTGGTTTTACAGATTTCATGGAGAAGGCATTACTGAGACAAAACAAAACATCTTATCTGCATCTGGATGCTATCTATTTTGTAATCTGCTTCAACATCTGACAGAGAGAAAGTGTTCTGGAGGGAGACTTCACAGGGAAATCGCATGAATGAAGAAACCTTTACTGTTGTCAGTGTATTTACAGCAGTATCAATGGAGCTAAATGTCACACCACATATGTGGCAGAAGGTTAGCTCATAGAGAAAAACAAAGAAGTTGGGTGTACATGCAAAACCCATTTTTTTAAAACTCAAACTCCACCTCATTCAGTAAAAGTTAAAAAAAAATATCCCCTGGACTTGGTTTCCAAGATTTCAAGACGTTTCGCCACCTCTCCAGGAAGCTTTCTCAATTCAAATGTCAAATTCCACCTCATTTTGAACAGACCATCATCATGGGGACACATGGTGGTGGTTGCATTGTCATGTGGGCTTGCTTTTCTTTACCAGGGAAGCAGGTTGGAGTTTATAGAAATCTATATGGCGGTAAACAAAGGACAATCCTGGAAGAAAACCTGACTTCGATCGGAGGTTTACCCTGACCATAAATGTACAGCCACAGGAACAATGGGATGGTTTAGAATACAGGACATTCATCGTGACCTAGTTAAAGTCCACACCTAAACGTGTGTGTAATTTACAGGCAGTTTCAGTTTGTAACGAGTGCAGTAGGATAAGTTCAAGGTGCATGAATCATTTTGCAAGACAACATACATGGGAAAATGTAACCGTTCATTTAAGAGTTATTAGGTTAAATCTACTCTGTTTCCTTTTTTCCATATACGAGTTGTGTGAGTTGCTGATAATTGTCCTTAAACTGTGCTTTACTGCACATTACTTTTTAATAATAAAGTGTTTTCTTCAACTCAATCATCATTAACAAATACAAACATTACCATCAGTAAATATCAGTTAAAATTTTTATTTTTGGAAAGGAACCCAAAAGTACAGTTAGTAAAGCTGTGACAACAAGTGCTGTACAGAACTCTAAAATTGCATGGTTAAAAAAAATGTGATATAGTGGAATTTCAGTCTTTTTTCAAACTAATAGTTTGATTATTACTATAGGATAATAGTAGTAGGATAATTATCCATATAATCCAACAAACTGATGTATTTGTAACACTATCCGAACAGGTGAGGTTTTATACCCCATCTTAAAATCATTTTATGAAGTTGCTTTCTTTTCCCCAGCCACAACTTCATCCATATTTTATTTATTTTTCTTCTGCAGGGTTTCCGCAGGTCATAAAAAATCATCAAAAGTCATTAAATTATTATTTTTTAAATCAAGGCCTTGATTGGCATTAAAATTCATTAAATGTGCTTATCATGGCGTTTAAAATGCTTCATTAAAAAAAAAACGTTTATAAAAATCAATTTCTTCTGATCTATTATATTGTGATATATTGGCGTGGAACTGCTTCCGCTTGTTTGTAAAGCTGTATGTTTGGGGGAAAAAAAGCTTGAGGCGGAGAAAAAGCTAGAGAACGGGAAAATGCAAATTTCAACAAAAGTGGCTGGAAAAGAGGGATTTTGCTGTGTTTTTTTTAATAAAAAACACGGCAAAATCCCTCTTTTATTTATATATATATATATATATATATATATATATATAT